TGCCCCGAGCCGTGGGCATGGTTCGGGCAGCCCACGGGCCGCGGCCCAATTCTACATTCCTATCAATGTGCATTTTAACATGTCAATGTGAATATTCACATTGTCAACGGGCCGAGCCGGGCCTACCCCGAGCCGCGGGCAAGCTTCGGGCAGTGGACAAATTTTACACTCCTATCAATATTAATGTTAACATGTCAATTTGAATATTCACATTGTCACGGGTCGGGCCAAGCCCACCATGGGCTGCGGGCCAATTTTACACTCTTATCAATGTGAATGTTAACATGTCAATGTGACTATTCACATTGTAAACGGACCAGGTCGGGCCGGTCCTGGGCCGCTGGCCAATTTTATACTCTTATCAATGTGAATGTTAACATGTCAATGTGAATATTCACATTGTCAATAGGTCGGGCCGAGCCCGCCTCGGGCCGCCCATGGGCCGTGGGCAAGTTTCGGGCAGCCACAAGGCGCGGGCTAATTTTACACTCCTATCAATGTGAATGTTAACATGTCAATGTGAATATTCACATTGTCAACGGACCAGGTCGGGCCGGTCCTGGGCCGCTGGCCAATTTTATACTCTTATCAATGTGAATGTTAACATGTCAATGTGAATATTCACATTGTCAACGGGTCGGACCGGGCCCGCCCCGGGCCATCCATAGGCCGCGGGCGGGTTTCGCGTCACTATGGGACGCGGGCCAATTTTACACTTCTATTAGTGTGAATGTTAACATATCAATGTAAATATTCACATTGTCAACGGGTCAGGCCCGCCCCGGCTCGTGGGCGAGTTTCGGGCCGCCCACAGGCCAATTTTACATTCCTACCAATGTGAATTTTAAAATATGAATGTTCACCTCATAAAATTGCTAACCATTCAAAAAATATTTATAAGGTATCAAAATTAAATATAAGGGCACAAGTGTCCAAGAAAATAGTGTAAATCAAGAAAAAGGACTTTATGGAATAAAACTATACATACATGAGACTAAATGGGTTAAAAAATTCCTTCATAGACTTCTTGGGTTAAAACACTTCTAAATGGGATTTATCAATAAAAATTCATTTTTTTTACTTTACGTTTTTTTCATTTTTTTTTCTTTGTATACATTAATTTCTTTTTATATTTCAAAAATGAGTTTTCATGTGTTTTATTTATTTGTAAATAAAAAGTGAGGTTTTATTTTATTGTCCTGTGTATTTTAAATATTTTTTTTTTGGCAAATGGTTTTTTCATATGTTTTTTATTTTTATTTTTATTTTAATTTTATTTTTTTTCATTTTCTGTAAAATGATAAAAAGTGAGGTTTTATTTTATTGTCCTATGTATTTTATTTTATTTTATTTTATTGCAAATGGTTTTTTCATGTGTTTTTTATTTTTATTTTTTATTTTTTTCATTTTCTGTAAAATGATACAAAGTGAGGTTTTATTTTATTGCCTTGTGTATTTTAATTTTTTTTTTTTTTTTGCAAATGGTTTTTTCATGTGTTTTTTATTTTTATTTTTATTTTTTTTCATTTTCTCTTTATTTATTTTAAAATTACGTGGTAACTGCTAATTTCTGTTTTTAAATTTATTGTTTTTTTTGGTTGGATGAGGCATATTTTTGTGGTTCTTTTTTTTTTTTTCATTTACGTTTTTGTCATTTTTTTTATTTGTATACATTAATTTGTTTTTATTTTTCAAAAATGGGTTTTCATGTGTTTTATTTTATTTTTTTAAATTACATGGCAAATGGTAATTTCTGTTTTTTTTTTGTTGTGGATGAGGCATATTTTTCTGGTTCTTTTTTTTTAATTTACGTTTTTGTCATTTTTATTTTTATTTGTATACATTAATTTGTTTTTATTTGTGATTTTTCATGTGGGGGTAGTTTGGTAAATTTACCTTGAAGTGGGTTGTTGCCAGTCAATTGCAGTGGCTTTTGTCTCCATTTGGCTACTTTAGCCTCTTTTGTCCTGTAGTGGCTAAAATAGCCTCAACTTGCATTGTCAAACGGAGGCTAAGCTACAAAAAAAGTGTTCGGATCCTCTAGAGTTTTTTTTCCTAAAGTGATCTCTAGAGTGGTTCAATGTGGTGCGACACCTGTCCCACTTGAGTAACCAAGGGCTGAGATCAATTCCTCTTAAAAACGACGTCGTTTTGGTGATGGAATTCAAAAAAAAAAAATATTCCTTCAGTTTCAGAACGAAACTGTAAGTGAGAGAGAGAGGATGAGAAGAATGAGGAAAGAGAGGAGGGGTTAAGCAAGAAACCCAAGAGTTCGCCGCCAAAAGCAGTACAAAATGAAAGCCCAAATCTTGATTTTGGTTGGAAAGTAATTAAAAAAACAAATTGATGACCCAATTTTTCTGTGGGTTTGATTTCAATTTTTCAAATCTGGGTTTGATGTCAAACAAATTGATGACTCAATTTATTTTTGTCTGAAACATAAAATGAAAAGCAATTAATTTGGCCCCTTTCCACCTCTCTCTCTTCTTTCTCTTCCTTCTTCTTTCCTTCTCACGCCGCCGATCGGCCGCCGCTCCTCTTCTCTCCTCCAACTTAGCTAGCAATCCAAAACCTCGAAAGTATTACAAAAACATAAACACAAAGGCCAACATAACTCACAACTTTTGAACTGTATATCAAGATTTACAACAAGAAAAACATAAAACCCAAAGAACATTTCAACCAATCGAAACAAGAAACAAGAAACAACCCAACAATAGATTCGAGGAAGAACAAAATAAATAAATAAATAGAATAGAATAGGTTTATTTCAAGGAAAATGAATGTGTATTCCAAGATCAGACTTGCTAACCCACCAAATCAAGATCCATGGATTTATTAGATCTTCATTTTCTCCCTAAAAACTAAAACCCATTGAAGAAACCAGTCGAAACAACACCTCCAAAATCTAAGAAACCAAACAGATCAAGAACACCAATACCTATGAGTCCTTCTCAGATGAAGAACATGAAGAAGAAAAAAAAGAAGATGAGAGAGAAGAGAGGAAGGAAGAGAGAAGGGGGCGATAGTGGGTGGTGTGGGTTTGGGGCAATGGTAAGAAAGGGAGGAGAAAATGTGGCTAGAGATGGGTGGTGGGCAATCTGGAAATCTGCAATAGATTTTTTTTTTTTTTGGTCCTATATCACCCACCAAAACGACGTCGTTTTGGTGGGTGATATAGGACCAAAAAAAAAAAAAAGGATCCGAACGTACAAAAAAAATATTGTAGACCTTTTCTATTATTAAAAGTTAGAGAGAAATGTTAAACTAATTTTTCCTATATTTCCTTGTGCAACTTTATTGTTTATATATCGAATAAATTTGGTTAATTTTTTTAGTATTTTATCCATGATAATCTCATTTCTTTTGATCAAGACCATGTCCCTTTCTTATATTTTTACATTTAGACCTCGTTTGAGAATTTGTTATTTTAGTTATTTTTTTATTTTTTTGTTAAAATACAAGTTAAAAAAATAGTATGTTTGGAATAATATTTTAGTTTTTTACGAAAAGATATACAAAAAGTAAAGAAAAAAAAATTATTTTGACTTTTTAATATATGTTATAGGTTTTTTGATTTTTTTACTAATTTTTTAACTTTTAGGCTAAAAGTATTACATGTCAAACGAGACCTTAGATCTAACTTGTACCATAGATACTAATAGGAATTGCATCCTTTTGATAGGAAAAGTTTGATTAAGAGATTAAAAAAAAAAGGTTTAATTAATTTTTTTTTTACAACAATTCATATTAAATAAAGTTTCCACTAAAATTTGAATAAATGTGTGGAAGATGGCCTAAGAGCATTAATATTTTCGACCTTCCACTTTTTTTCCGTCATTCAATCTATTAAAAAACTAGAGCAAAAACTTGATTTGATACGGTAAAAAACACAAAATAAAAACTATTAAATCTTTTTAAAAACACGTAACATATCAAAAAAAAAAAAAAAAAAAAAAAAAAAAAAAATCGCTTTTAGTGAATTCAGGTGAAAAAATTTATCTTCAGCCATTCATGTTTTAACAATTTTTTTCAAATTTAAATAAAAAATTATTGAAACTTTGGTAAAATAATTGATTAATACATAATTTGATGAAATATTTAGCAAAAAAGTTTTTTATAGAAGTTTGATGAAAAAAATTAAATATTTTTCACCTAAAATTTTGATTAAATTTAAATTTAATGAAGAACTAGAGATACTCTAATATTAAAACATTGGTAAATTATATTTTGCCTTTTTTATATTTGATCATTTTTTTCACTTTGCCTCTTATTATTATTATTATTATTTTTTTCTACTCCGACATGTTTTAAATTTTTCTTAATTTATTCAAAAAATTATTTATGTCCAAAATTATACTAAAAAATAATATATTGATAATCACGTGACATAACAATATTTTATTATACCATTGAGTCAAATTCTCATGTCTGAAAGAAAAACGAAAAAAAAAAAGAAATGCTTCGGTGTGCGATACATATCGTATGCAATCATATACAAAATTATAAAAGTTTTCACAAATTGACATAAATCATCACACAAAAATATATAAGTTGAATAAAAATTTACATAAATTCATGAAAACTTATATAATTATGCAATTTATGTTGAACTTACATATTTTTATAAGATTACTTATATAAATTCGTAAAAATTTATATAATTTTATATAGAATTACATACGGTGAAAAATGTAATTTATGAAAGTCGCCTGAAAAAATTGGCAACCTCCATGAATGGTGCAAAAAATAACCAAACATGGCGTTGTTTGGAAAATTAATTATTTTAGTTGTTTATTTAACTTTTTAATTAATATAATCTGATTAAAATAGTTATATTTGAGAAATTAATTGATTTTTTAAAATAATTAATTTGATAATTATTAAAAAATAATTATAAATTAAATATAATATTTTATTTTATTAATTATTTGGACCAATGTTACACCTCTTCCCAAACGAGGCCCAAGGGGAAAGTGTAATTTATGGTTAAAATAAAAACATTACAACCCAAGCCGGGAGACAAACACAAGTACCCGCAGCGCGCCCTTTACCTTTTTCTAGTAGTTATGCAAGCTCTACTGTTGCCGGCAGGTCGGTCCGGCGGCGCACCGCTAGCTCCGCCGTCATCACTGGCGGCGAAACCCTCCTTACCCCCGCCTTACCTTCACCGCCTCCCTATATTCCTTTCTCCTCTCCACTCCCCGTCTCTTCCATCATCCCTTAACACTCATCTGTCTCTCTCTTCTTCTTCTTCTCTCTCTTCATCTCATACTACGCTCAGCAAGAGAACTACTTCTCTCGCCTCTGCCCCCATTTCTACGGCCTATTCTTCCCCAAATGACGATTCCGAGAAAGCCAAACTCGCTCAGGTCCTCTCTCTCTCTGTACCCTAATTATTGACAAGATGTGAATTTGTAGAAACGACTAAGAGAATTGTTTGTTAGGGTTTTCAGTTCACGATTACTGCAATTATAATGCATTGCATCTGCAAGGCCATCTTCAGCCCTTAATCAAATTTGAGTAATGAAAAGAGTAAAACTTTATTTGATATGAAGCATTAGTTGTAAATTTGAAGGCTCCAAAATGATTTTGAAAATTTTGAGTAAACATTTCAGTCCTTTTGATTTGGGTAAAAAATGGATAAACTCAATTTGATATGAGTTTGAGTCAAAAAGTGGAGAGGTTTTTCAGTGATTTTTACCCCAATTTGAATTTGATATAGGAGATGCCCTAAACTAAACCTCTTACCCAAATCTTGTCTCAAACTTAAATTTGAGTAAAAAGCCACTAAGGTGCTGTTTGGTGCAGCCTATTGTAAGGTAAAAGTTGATAATTAGAAAAAACTTGATTTGATATGGTAAAAAACACAAAATAAAAACTATTAAATCTTTTTAAAAACACGTAACATATCCAAAAAAAAAAAAAATCGCTTTTAGTGAATTCAGGTGAAAAAATTTATCTTCAACCATTCATCTTTTAACAATTTTTTTCAAATTTAAATAAAAAAATTATTGAAACTTTGGTAAAATAATTGATTAATACATAATTTGATGAAATATTTAGCAAAAAAATCTTTTTATAGAAGTTTGATGAAAAAAATTAAATATTTTTCACCTAAAATTTTGATTAAATTTAAATTTAATGAAGAACTAGAGACACTCTAATATTAAAACATTGGTAAATTATATTTTGTCTTTTTTATATTTGATCATTTTTTTCACTTTGCCTCTTATTATTATTATTATTATTTTTTTCTACTCCGACATGTTTTAAATTTTTCTTAATTTATTCAAAAAATTATTTATGTCCAAAATTATACTAAAAAATAATATATTGATAATCACGTGACATAACAATATTTTATTATACCATTGAGTCAAATTCTCATGTCTGAAAGAAAAACGAAAAAAAAAAAGAAATGCTTCGGTGTGCGATACATATCGTATGCAATCATATAGCAGAGTTTAAACAATATATATTTTATTAGGGTAATGTTTAAGTGTGCAACCCCCTTAAGGTTGCACACCATATGCAAGGTGTAAATGTAAAAAATATCATATAGCCCAATACATGGAAGGTGTAAATGCAAGGTCGTAAATGCCTTGCATACCATATGCAAGGCACACTTAAGAAAAATCCATTTTATTATATATATTTGCACCTTTAACCTATACCCAAATTCAAATCTAATACAAGCCGCTACTCTATCAACTTGAACGACACTTAAGGTGGGACTATTAGACCATTGAGTCAAATCCTAATGTCTGGAAGAAAAAAGAAAAAAAAAAAAAGAAATGCTTCGGTGTGCGATACATATCGTATGCAACCATATACAAAATTATAAAAGTTTTCACGAATTTACATAAATGATCACACAAAAATATATAAGTTGAATAAAAATTTACATAAATTCATGAAAACTTATGTGATTATGCAAATTTGTGTTGAACTTACATATTTTTATAAGATTACTTATATAAATTCGTAAAAATTTATATAATTTTATATAGAGTTACATACGGTGAAAAATGTAATTTATGAAAGTCGCCTGAAAAAATTGGCAACCTCCATGAATGGTGCAAAAAATAACCAAACATGGCGTTGTTTGGAAAATTAATTATTTTAGTTGTTTATTTAACTTTTTAATTAAAATAGTTATATTTGAGAAATTAATTGATTTTTTAAAATAATTAATTTGATAATTATTAAAAAATAATTATAAATTAAATATAATATTTTATTTTATTAATTATTTGGACCAATGTTACACCTCTTCCCAAACGAGGCCAAAGGGGGAAAGTGTAATTTATGGTTAAAATAAAGACATTACAAACCAAGCCGGGAGACAAACACAAGTATCCACAGCGCCCCCTTCACCTTTTTCTAGTAGTTATGCAAGCTCTACTGTTGCCGGCAGGTCGGTCCGGCGGCGCACCGCTAGCTCCGCCGTCATCACTGGCGGCGAAACCCTCCTTACCCCCGCCTTACCTTCACCGCCACCGTATATTCTTTTCTCCTCTCCACTCCCCGTCTCTTCCATCATCCCTTAACACTCATCTGTCTCTCTCTTCTTCTTCTTCTCTCTCTTCATCTCATACTACGCTCAGCAAGAGAACTACTTCTCTCGCCTCTGCCCCCATTTCTACGGCCTATTCTTCCCCAAATGACGATTCCGAGAAAGCCAAACTCGCTCAGGTCCTCTCTCTCTCTGTACCCTAATTATTGACAAGATGTGAATTTGTAGAAACGACTAAGAGAATTGTTTGTTAGGGTTTTCAGTTCACGATTACTGCAATTATAATGCATTGCATCTGCAAGGCCATCTTCAGCCCTTAATCAAATTTGAGTAATGAAAAGAGTAAAACTTTATTTGATATGAAGCATTAGTTGTAAATTTGAAGGCTCCAAAATGATTTTGAAAATTTTGAGTAAACATTTCAGTCCTTTTGATTTGGGTAAAAAATGGATAAACTCAATTTGATATGAGTTTGAGTCAAAAAGTGGAGAGGTTTTTGAGTGATTTTTACCCCAATTTGAATTTGATATAGGAGATGCCCTAAACTAAACCTCTTACCCAAATCTTGTCTCAAACTTAAATTTGAGTAAAAAGCCACTAAGGTGCTGTTTGGTGCAGCCTATTGTAAGGTAAAAGTTGATAATTAGAAAACAGAAATCAAAAGCACTCTTTTCCCAACTTCTAAATAATAAGTTTTTCTTAACTTATTTAAACTATTTTTGCCTAAAAAGCTGTAAGAAAAAGCTGTACCAAATAGTCTGATAGACATCCCCAAATTAAAATAAGCTATAATCACCCCTTATAATCCACACCAAACACCCCCTAAAACACCCTCCACTCCTTTTCTGAAATCTATGCCAAATTGAGTTTTACTCAAATTTTGTCTCAAATGAAGGGAGAACCATTTCATTTACTCTAACTTCTACTCAATTTGAGTTAAAGTATAAGTTAGGTTAGGGTTTGGAGATGGCATCTGAAATTCAAAGCTGTTTTTTGGGTGGTCACAATGAGTCAACTCATAGTCATATCATATCTACAATTCAATTAACAAGTTTACAAATTTCATCAATTAGTCATTTTTAGTCTGTCCTTGATGGGTTGAAAATGCAACGCTTGTGCAATGTGTGCTTTTAAGTGGAAAGGTTGTCACTCAAGGGGCCCTAAATGATTTAGCTCATGGTACGAACTTGAATTCCCCACCAATTAGGATTATGAACTTTATTAGATGAATTTAGAAATGCCAATTTTTTGTTGAAAGTGAACATGGTTGTTTGAGTGGTGGTGTTGATGCAATTTGTGAGTTAATTCATTGGTAGAGGTAGATATCGAAGAATTAGTTCTTTTTTTTTTTTTTTTAGTGCATTATGCTTTTAAAGTTGAAGATTGTAGTTTCAATGTTAGCGCAGGTTGCGAAGAGGTTAGCGAGTACTGCGAGGTACTTCAAGAGGTTGGGTAGTTTTGGGTTTTGGGGACAGCTAGTGTGCACTGTTGTGGCTGCCGTGATCCTTTCCTTTTCTGTTGTTATTACCGGGAAGATCACTTCACCTGTTACATTTTATTCAACTGCTGGTGGAATTGCAGCCGCATTCATTTCAGTGTTTTGGTCATTTGGGTACATCCGTCTGTCAGACAGGCTCCGGAGAACTGCCAATGACCCTTCAAAGGTATGTTAATTTTTAAAAATTTTATTCCAATTTTGTGATAAACATTTGCTAAATTTTTTCTTCAGAATATAACGTCGTTACTCTTTCATTTTTTTTATTTTTAAAATTGGATTATATATAAAAGTGTGGAAGAACAGTGCACTTGTAACAGAGTTGTAAATGGCTTGTAAGTCAATCTTGTGTTTTGATTGAATGTGACTGTAAATGAATTGAATTGATAAATCTCGGTGTATGTTAGATAATTTATATGTCTATGATAATGGTTGCCCAAATTTCCATAATTCTTGGAAATGAATCATCCATTAGGGCTGATTAGTACATGAGTCCCTTTTTGGATCCTACATTGAGAATTGCTACACTAATTGACTGATAGCATTCTTGTCTTATGTCATAAACAGACATGTTGTCGAACCTTATTACTAGCATTGTATTACATTAAAGGAAATTTTTTACGTTGTATGTTCTTTCATGTACTAAGCTTCTTCTTTGTCTTTTTGTCTTCTTTTTTTTTTTTTTGTTTTTTTCCCCTTGTATAATTTTAATTGAGCTTTTTAACTTCTTGCAATGCAAGCTGATGTTACATGGACTTTTATAAATTTATGAAGTACCCATGTCACTATCAAACACTTGACACTTGGGTAAAGGACACTTAGCGCTAGGGTAAATGTATTGGGATATGTGTCTGATATGCCTAGTTGGAGATGCATGCCCAACATGTGTGTACAAGTAGTTGAGTTTATTATATAACTATGCATAAGACTTCCATATACTATATTTTAGTTTTTGAACATCATTTCACTCTTAGAATATTAAAAGAGTATTTTAGAAATATGAAATATAATCGTATCTAGGTGTTCTTGATGTGAGAATTAAGTGAATAAAACACTTAGACACATCCCTGCATCTGACACCTATGCAAGCAACTTCACAAGAGGGACGCTTATGAACATATGTTGATGAGAATCTCTTGAATTCTAAAATTAAATGGGCATTGTTCTGAATAAGAAATGCATGACTAATTAAAAAATAAAGCTAAAGAAAATTAGTACTAAAAAGTACATATATCTTCATTCCTTTAAGTTTCACCACTACAATAACTATTACAACCCTTCACCTCCGCCATCATTACATCACCGCTCCACCGTCACCACAACCACTATCCCTCTACCTTCAACACCATTACCATTGGTGCCATAGCTGCCGCCACCACACCACTACCACATCATCCTCACCATCACAATATTAAAATTAGAAGATACAATTTGAAAATAATAAATTTCAAATTTGATCTTGTACATATCAAGTAACTTGTTTTAGTTCAATACTTAAATTGTTATCAAACGACTTTTTAGCTTAAAAAATTTAGGGTAAATTACAAATACACATCCTGAAATTTGCTTAAAATTTAGGGTATTTTAGGGGATGTATTGGAGTCAGTATCATTATTATTAATTTTCTTGTCGGCTTTGTTTTTCTTGTGTTTTTTTGTTTTTATTTTCCCTTCTCCCTTCTTTAATTCTCTGGAATAATTGTAAAACTATGGATGCAGTGCCCCAACATTTTTGTCACATACATATTTTGGCAAGATTAGTATTAGGTGACCACCCAATATTAGAGCTTTTGTTGCCAAAAATGATCTTTTAATTATTTGCTTTCGATGCTTATTTGTCTGGCTCATAAATATAGATTATGTCCTTGACCAAGGCATTGTATCAGATAACTTCAGGTACAGTGATAAATCTGACTGGTTGTGTTTTAGGCTCCTCCTCGAGCTGATGTTGTGAAAAGCTTGAAAAATGGCATAGCATTGAACCTTCTGGGAATGGGTGCTGCTATCCTCGGCATGCAAGCCACGGTGGGATTGTTGGTTGCAAAAGCCCTAACTACTTCAGCTAATCCTTATTACCAGGGGCCTGGGTCCAGCCCTGTTCTTGCTTTGGATGTATTCTTGGTACAGGTATTCATCTAGATTTACTTTAAATAATTCCTTCTGCAGTCTGTATGAAGTCAAAACTCAATATTGGGCAATTTCAAAATCTCTAGATAGGATTCTTTCCTAATTTTTTCAAGTGGTTTCAGTTCAATGTTTCACATCATGGAAAGATTTACCTTTTCCATAGTTTGTAAAATTCCTTCCTTTGCTTTTATTGCATCTTATGGCACCAATTAACAACATGATAGAATATAGTGTAAATTACACCGATAGTCCTTATAAATTTAGCTAAATTTTACTTTGGCCCTCTCAATTTTAACTCCGTACTTCCAATTGCATTTTGATGTGATCCGTTCGTTAGGATATGTTAAAAGTTAAAACTAATAGAAATACATGTTGTGTGGCTAAAACCATATATACTCACGTGCGCACACAAAAATAAACTTTATTGTATATTGCTGCAGGGCGAGGGGAGGCAGTGTGTGAGGGGGCTACAATAGGGCAGGGAGGAGGAGAGGTGGCAGGTGAGAAGGGAAGGGGCCTGTGATGGGGAAGGGAGGATGAGGGGAGGAGACTGGGCATGGGAGGGCTGCAAACGGCGGCAGTTGCCAAAGTTGTGTTCGACAATCAACAGAAAGAGAAAAGAGAACCAGTTTGGTGTGAAAATACAAAAGTGCTGTAAAAAACACGTGTGGCACGCACATGTTTTGTCCATCTATAATTTGTATGATGGAGGGACCAAATTGAAACACAATTGGAAGCGTGAGGATTAAAATGAAATTTTGCTAAAACAATTGGGACTCATGGTGTAATTTACACTAGAATATAGAAGATTTGAGAGCCAAATGGAGTGATCCCTTGTTTGAGAAAAAAGAATAGGTTTGGAAAGAAGATATTAAAAGAGGATGTAGACTTAAACCAAATTGTTTACTTTTCCTTCCTATCGTGAGCTTAAGAGATCTTTTGAAACTCGGAAAAAGCAGGAATAAGGCTATCAATCACAAGTACTCCGCAAAAAGTGGGAATAAGGCTATCAACCTACTACCTCGTAAGCAGGAGTGATTTTTTTAGCAATTATTTAAGACTAGCAGTCTAACATGTAGTCCCAAGTAGGGGTGCAACTAGTGTTGTGAAAAGCGCGCCTAGGCGCCAGGCGAGGCGAGGCGCATCCTTTGCGCCTGTACAGGTCCCAGGCGAGGCGACTTGAGCCAGGCGAGCGCCTTAGCCGCAACTTGAGCCAGGCGACAGAGGCGCAAGGCGCACGACTAGGCGCGCTTGATGTATTAGCAGCTTGATCTGATCTAACGACTTCGACTGTGGACCTCGATTCCTCGATTCGACTTCGACTTCGCAGCGACTTTGACTGTGGACCTCGATTCGACTTCGCACAGGTATGCTTCGATTCGACTTCGATTGTGGACCTCGATTCCTCGATTGGACTTCGACTGTGGACCTCGATTCCTCTTCGACCTCTTTTGGTCTCCTCGATTTGACTTCGTTTTTTTTTTTTTGCTTCGACCTCTTTCTGGTCTTCTTCTGATCTTACTCTCTCTCTCTCTCTCTCTCCCCTTCTTCTTCTTCTTATGGCTTCCATTTGACTCTGTTTTATTTTTTATTTTTATTTATTTTTTATTATTTTTTTTCAATTATGTTAGGGAAAAAAATAAAAATAAATACAAATACAAAATAAATAAATAAATATAAATACAAATACAAAATAATAAATAAATAAATACAATGCTACTGGTCTTTTTTTCCCCTTTATCTGTTAGGGGAAAAAAATAAATTCTGTATTTATTAAATTCTGTATTTATCTGTATTTATTAAATTCTGTATTTAATAAATTCTATATTTATCTATTAGGGGGAAAAAATAAATTCTGTAGTTATCAGTATTTAATAAATTTTGTATTTATCTGTATTTATTAAATTCTGTATTTAATAAATTCTATATTTTTCTATTAGGGGGAAAAAATAAATTCTGTGTATTTATTAAATTTTGTATTTATCTGTATTTAATAAATTCTGTATTAAATGTGGATTATTTTATTTTTTAAATTCTGTCTTTATTTTATTTATTAAATTTTGTCTTTTCTTATTTTTATTTTTATTTTATTGAATGTGGATTATTTTATGTTTGAAAATTGAAATGTTATGTAATATGCACTTTCATGGCTTTGAAAGTTATCCTATATTTTGTCTTGAATCTTGATTATTTTTTATTTTTAAAAAAATTGTCTTAGTACTACGAATGATTAGTCTATGTTAATTTTTTTTATTTTTTACTAAAACTGTGCGCCTTACTTCAATAAAGCCCGCGCCTCGCCTTGCGCCTAGGCCCCGAGAGACCTTCAGCGCCTTAGTGCGCCTTGAGCCTTTAAAAACACTGGGTGCAACTCAAGTGGGTTCAGATGGATTGAGAGGTTGGTAAAGCCCAACCCGAGTTGTGTTGAGAGTTGCCCAAGCTTGATTTGCAACTCGAACTCGTCTGTCCAACCCTGACTTGAGCATAATAAATTAAACTTGGGCTAGGCCTGAATTGCCCACAAATTCTTTTATTTTTATTTTTTGTAGCTAGGCTGATTAATTTGTTTAAATTAGACCATATTAACATTTTTTTGGTAATATTCATTAATAACATCAAAATAAATAATTTATATGATGTGAGAGAGAAGAGAAGAGAGATGAGGATCAAGAAACTGATACACTATTATGATAATCTTTACCATTTCTATGTGAGAAAAGAAAATAGTAGGATTTTTGTGTTGTATTATTTGTGTATATGATATATATAATGAATATGATACAACGGTCCAAATTATTTTAACATTATCCAATGTTTAATTAGTTATATGTATATTTATATTTACATTTCAGGTTAGTTGCCTAGTGTCTCTGCGTAAGCCCAACCCGAATTAATTAGGTTTATGAATTTCTGCCCAAGCCTGCACGAGCTGAGCTTAGGTTAAGCCCACCCAAGTTGCACCACTAGTCCTAAGTGAGGGAAAACCTACCCTAGTTAGTTTGTGGGTTATTTGATTATTTTCTCAGGCATCTATTTTGTTGCAGGCATCAGCGAACACTATCCTTTCCCATTTCTTGGGGCTTGTTTCCTCGCTGGAGCTGTTACGGTCAGTGACTTTGCCACCATCAGAAAGCAATCCAGTTCCGAGGATTGCGTAGCCTGGTTCCACTGGATGGTAAGCAAATACTAGTTTGAGAATTTCAGGTGAAATCCATGTTTTTCAGATCATCATTGTTGACAGGAGAGGGGAGGGGATGTTCACATCTCTGCATATGATTGTTACAAACTTCAAGCTGTGTATTTTTATTCTGGGATTTTACAACCCCCCATTTCATTGTTCAGTTTAATACAGATTTATGAGTGCAATTATCCGAACTTCCAGTGAAATTAAAATGCTCTAGGAGAATGAAAATTAGCCTGTCTTTTGCCAGTTTGTTTTGTTTTGTTTTTCTTCTCTCACTGATAATGAGATTCGCTGTAGTTGGTCCAGTTGAGGAGAGTGAAATTTTACACTTTCGTAAAATGCGTTGCTCTCTCATCCTCTAGTCCTAATCGTAGAGCAGCAAAGCCTCTTTTCCTTGGCAAACATGGTGATGAGCGTGTACTGTATGATCATAAATATTTTACACTTGAAGTGTATGCCAAACAAGCTCCTTTTGTAGATGGCCAAAATTGTTGTTTTTCCACGTTTTTGTAAAATAGCAGCATGTAATGTGTAAACGCCATGATAATGAACAACTCTCTCTCTCTTTTCCTCTGAAGATTCACTAATGACATTCGTCATTTATCATATCCGATCAGCTCCATGGAAGTATTATTTTATGGAATTGGTACGGTACTTGGTGAAGTTGATGTCAGCTATGCGTGATTAAAAAGCGCAACTGAGCAATATGGTAGAAACATATGCAAAGTGTGCAATGAGGATCTTTCTAGGTATCCAGTCTTTACTAAACTCGGCCTCAATCTCAGCTCTCACTCAGCCTCAATCTCAGATTGAGCTCTCACTTGGCCTCAATCCAGCTCTATGACAATCGAATCGCATCCATTATATGATTATGAACGATTTGTGTCTTGAATTTGGATTTGTTAAAAAGAAGAGCGAAGGAATAAGGAAGATAAATGAGAGACTAATTTCTTTTGTTTGTTTGGAATGAAAAATAAGAAAGAAATAGACATTTATCAAAAAATAATATATATATTTTTTAATTTGGTTGCTCATTAAAAAGTAAATTTCATATTCCTTTCCAAGACAGTGCAAAACACGATAATACTTTCACAATAGTCAATCATTATTCAATTTAATGGATTTTTTTTTTAATAAAAAACTCTAGTAATCATTGACCTTTTCTTTTTATTTACTAATTTATTACTTTGATGGTTGAACTGGACAGCCAACAACTTTCACCTTCCTTGTGGGCAGGTTAGTACAGCTTGAACATTAGTGATTAGAAAACCAAAGTTCAAAATACTTTATTCAACTTTCGGTTAATTAATTTTTTTACAATTTATTTAAATTATTTTTGCTCTATAAACTACAAAGATAAGTTGAACCAAACACTCCACAAAATTTTAAAATATAAGGTAAATTATGATGATAGTCTTTGTACTTTACCTCATGTGTCATTTTAATTCATATGCTTTCAATTGATTCAATTTTCACCATGAATTTATAATTTTATCTTAATTTGATCCAATTAATTACAATTCTTTAACATTTTTTTTTTATGAAAAATACGCATACAAGTATTACGTGCCATATTTTTAAAAACAAAATTATAAACTTACTCAACTCATTTAGTTAACCTCAACTAATTTAATAATAATTTTTCTTAAAAAACGCTAATGACATTATTAATTAAACCAAATTAAAACAAAATTTAAAACTAATGATCAAAATTGAACTAATTGACAATATAAAGACCAAGACGACACATGAGGTAAAATATAGAGACCATCGATATAATTTTCCTAAAATATATAAAATTGTCTCCAATAAACTGCACCACAGATGTACAGTAAGAGAAAGGGAAACATTTCAGTTCTCTGTGTCGAATCATAAATTATTGAGAATTTTTCTCAACAAATTCAAAATCTAAGCTAGGGTTTTACATGGAAAGAAGAAAAAAAAAAAAAAAAATCTTTAGACCAAAGTTCTGAGACTTGGTTTTTTTGTTTTACGTTTCAAGAATTTTGATGCTTGAATCGATCTCAGACTAACCGTAAAATTTATTGCTTTTAGAAAGTAGAATCAAAATGTTGAATCATTTCAAAAGCATTAGATCAAAAGAAACAATAAAATTGGAAACCAATAAAACCAAAACCAAAACCAAAACCAAAACCAAAACTTACAATATTGAAGTGTATGTATATAGCTAAAATCCATGAAGAGACTCACTCCGCAGAAGAATACACTCCAGAGAAGCACATTAAATAATCAAATGAAACTACTCTGCAACAAATATATAACCTTTTGAGTTTCATACCAAAACCAAGCTCGCCTCGAAGCATTTCATTAGTGGAAGAAAACCAAAACCTATCAAGAAGGCAAGAAATGAATCCTTCCTAAAAAGTGTGCAAGCAAGTGGACGTCAGTCCGCTCCTGATGATTTACCATAGTTGATATTACGCATCAAGTAAACAGCAGCCTGAAAATACCGAACAAAAATTACAAAACTTTCAAAAAAGCCATAATCTCAATTACATGTTGCTACATAGGGGCATGAATGAAATTATGTGCTTCACCATACTGAAGAATGCAAATTCGAAAGAATCTATTTGTACAAAACCACTGAGTATAATCAAACCGGAAAAGAAAGTCCAATAAAAAACAGCAAAATATGGCTCGACATTATACAAAGATAAATCTCCAAAACAAACAAGTGGCATGTGTAACTTGAAAATATATGACAAAATGAAAAGTTCACTAGCTGCATTGCAGAATTGATCTACCGCCTTACTTGAGAAATAATTTGACACTAAATGTCATTTTGAAAGTACACAGTTTACTTATTAAAAAGTACTTGCACACGGTTTACAAGAAAAACATAATAATATACTCTTCTGCATGACAAATTCTTCTAGCAAAATTCTGCTTGACATCATCCAGAGAGACTTCCCTCAAATTGGTGTGCCTGTATGTGTAATGAGACACTCAGTTTCAGTCGTAATAGCCAAATCTTAGTATATATATTCAAAATTAAGGTAACAAATGCAACCTCAACTCGACTCAACTTAGCATTAATCCCAATTATTTGGGGTCTCAATTGGTTCTATCCCAAATCATAACCTCAATTAAGTCCAAGGCAATTATATCCTTTCTCATTACCTCAACCCATGCCTTTCTCAGCCGTCTTGTTTTTATTTTGGCATCTTATACCTGCATCACATAATTCCTTAGCGGTTCATTTATTTGTTCTAACTTGCACATGGCAAAAAAAACCTCAATCTATTCTCTTATCTTCTCTTTGATTGGTACCATTTGTAATTTGCACTGAATGTATTTTCATTTCTATCTTTTCTTATAACCACCTCAGTATATAGCAATCCCAAAAAACAGAAATTTTACTTATAGTTCAAACATCATCACATGCAGCAGAAAGTTGGATTTGGCAGGTCAATCTGTTCAAAATATCAATGTCTATTAACTCAATGTGAGAGTGAGAATACCAATTAAGCACATAAACAGGTGGACACATATATACATGTAAACGTATAACAAACTAAATTACACTTAAAACTTTATGTCTTAGAAAAGAAGCATCAACACAAAGATGTTTCTAGATAACAACGACTCAAATGAAGCCGGCCGGAAGCATCTTTTTTAAGGGCAAGAGGCAAACAAGTAGATGAATATTCATGGCTTAATATCTATGAAGCACGGATACTTCAAAAAGGGTGACGTATCCGTATCGGATACTTATCGGATACCGATACTCCTCGGATACTCGCGGATACGTATCAGATACTTCTTAAAAGTATCGGATACTTCTTAATTAATTTTTTATTAATTTTGAAGTATCGGATAGTTAATTTTGAAGTATCGGATACTCGAAATTACATATTACTTATAATATTTTGTTTAGTTCTTTCATAAGAGGAATATAGTGAGAGCTTAAGTAATAGAATTTGTCAAATTGATGTATCCTTGTTGTCTCTCTCACTTCTCTCTCGCTTTCTCACTCTCTCACGTTTCTTCTCTCTGCTCTCATTCTTTTTTTGGTGTTGGCATGTAAGGATGATATTTAATTTGTATTTTTTTTTGCTTTTAGTTTTGGATGTTTTATGAATGTTTGAGCACTTTTAGGTTAATAGGAATCCCTCTCTTTATTTATTAATTTACTTTAAGTTTTATTTTCATGCATATTACATTATTAAAATCACAAAAAAAAAAAAAAATTATGAATGTATCCCCGCTGTACCCGTATCATATTTTTTCAAATTTTGACATATTACCATATCCACATCCCCATATCACCATATTCGTATCCGTGCTTCCTAGGCTATCATTGATGACTTAAAAAAGTATATTTGCTGAAATTTTTATTTAAGAATGGTTTTTTGGCTTGGGCTTTAGCTAAGGTCTTGTGATATTCACTGATGAAGGGAAACAAGTTGAAGCTATTAACCTTGAAGACTCTTAGTTTTGTAGGAATCTTTCTTCTTTATCAAGTTGTCTTTTGCTTTAAGTTTTATTTTTATGCATACTGCATTACTAAAAATTGTTAAAATAATATTTTTTACGAACGTATCCCCGCCGTACCCGTATCCTAGTTTTTCAAATTTTGTCGTATCGCCGTATCGTATCGTATCCGTATCCGTATCCGTGCTTCCTAGCTTAATATGCTGAGAATCTATTTCAACATAAACAACTCTGATTCGTGTTAACACAAAATAACCCAAAATCATCCATGGAAAACAAACCAACATAAAAAAATATCAAAATCGTAGAACAATAAAAAAATCATGAACTAAGATAAACATCAAGAAAAAAAATTTGACCGTAAATCCAAAAGGAAAACCAAAAAAAAAAAAAAATGACAAATTTTCCATAGTACTCGTGATCCCAACTCTCAATTAACTAGCAAAATTGTCCATTGAAACTCCAGTCACTTTAGATAAATCTATTGGGAGTATAACTTCATTACCAGTACTTATACTTAAATTGTTTACAGAAGTGCAATTATTAATTGTGATAATAAAATATAAATTAAACATGGTTAAAAACAAGATTGAAAACATTGTCATTTGCATGCACAATGATTAAAAAGGGCACCTTTTTCAAGCATGCATGCTGTGTACAGTGTATACACACAAACAGAGAGGGAGAGGGGGGTTACACTTGGCCTATTGAGTTTTCTTTTCCTTGTTAAGAGGCAGTGGAAGCTTTCTCAGGATATTATCATCAATTTTCCTGAACTGCGTCTGAATGATCTTATGAGCTACAATTAGCTTCTCGTCAATTTGATCCTGGTACTTCTCATAAAGCACAGGGACCGACAGACTAAGAAGAACCCCTATGGGAAAATCAAAGTAGATAATCAAATTGAATTAAAATATTCTCTAGAAAGGCTTGTGCACTTATATACAGGGAAAGGCCACGAAGAAACTCACCAACATAGACCAAAGTAAGGAAGTTGAAGAAACTACCAATGTAAGAAATTATCCACAAGACCAATGCAACCTGAAGACCAAAGCCACATTACATTGGCACATTCAACTATTGATATGCAAGATGAGTATACAAAACCCTATTGCATTGAGAAGGAAGTTACATAAACTGATCATACCTGGATAAAAATTTTCAAATTTCCCTCAACTGCAATGTCACGTGCAACCGACAATGCATGATTGATCCACACTCTGGCTTCATCGGCAGCTCTCAAAACAGATTCCTCAGAAACTTCCAGATCAGGAAGGGGAGGCAGAGGTCTGCATGTTTTATTATTAAATTTTGTAAATACCATCATTTGCACTAAGTAAAGAATCTCTCCTACAATACAAGTAACAGTACCACAAAGTGTTTAAAACTGCTGCCAAAGACCAAATAAACATTTGTGGGTCTTAAATAGGATGGACCGCTTATTTATATTTATAGATGTTCTCAAAGAATTCATTTCACTTTTGTCCTCTAAACTATTCCCATTTTTTTCTATTGCATCTCTAAACGATTATTTTCATTTATTTAGTCCTTAAAGTTTATAATTTCAGCTAATATGGTCCAATTGGAAATGATTGTTCAAATCAATAACCGTTAAAGCCTAATCTGATGAATAAAGAGGTCATTTCAAAACTTGAACAACTTATGATTTTGGTTGTCTAAATTGCAAAATTACAAATTTTGCTCATTATGTCAGGTTTACACATTTGGGCATACTCTCTCCAATTGGACCATATGACCATATGAACTAAAATAGATGAAATAGATAATGATTTAAGGGTATATAAAGGTGATATTTAATTTAACCCTCTTTCTCAAATTATGGACAAGAATTGAGCACATCAATTGGTTACATACAGAGATTATAATGATGCAAAAACACAAAAACCCACCTATTGAGTAATGAAGCAGATTTACCCCAGAAGAAGAGGACGGCAACTAGAAGCAATAGAACATTTGCGGCGAAAGACAAGAGATTGTAACCGGCCCGCTCAAAGAGGATCCACAGGGACGTAGAACCCACTAGCAGAACAACACCTCCGCACCATCTCCTCCACAACAACACATCAGCAACTGCACCCCAAAAAAAAAATGCCAAAACTACGAATGATCTCTCAAATCATAACCCCATAATTACAATTGAATAACAGAGGAGAGGATCAATTTGAATATCGATTGGTATGTACACACACATACAACGAATTTGAGAGTGCTTATATAAATCAAACGGAAGTAAATGCATACATATACATATATAAGTATAGAGAGAGATAGAGAGAACCTGCACCACCGCCAAGAGATTGATGAACAGAAATCCGACGAGAATCTACCATGGCGATTAGGGTTTCTATTAGAGAGAGAGAGAGAGAGAACAGGGGAATGGCGAACAACGTAACCAAAAAAAAAAATTAATGTTGGTTTCTCAAACGTAACCTTAAAGTATAAACAACTTCTTTTTTTTTTTTTTTTAAACGTAACTATAAGTACAAATTAGCTGTTTTTGTTAATGGATATTATTATCTTTTGTTAATGGATATTAGTACAAATTAAAATTTTGACTTCTCTAGCATTATTTTTTTAAAACTTTTTCTCTTTCATATTATTTTGCTTGACAAATTTTAAAACAAAATAAAATGTTAAAAAAATATTAAGGAAGAGAGGGAGATAAATGATTTCTTTTAACTATTTTTGTAATTTTTTTTAGATTAGTTGCCTTGACTATTGCTGACATTTAGGAAAAATAGAACAGATTTTATAAATTAAAATAATTATACTAATATTTCTTTTAGTAGAGTTAAAGTAAAACTAATGTAAATAGTTTATAAACATAGAGATAAACAAATAAAATCTAATTCTCAATATCTCTTTTAGTTATCTAGTTGAATTGTATGGTACGTAATTCCCTTGTTCATAGGAATGGCAATGGGGGGCAATGGAGTGGATATTAATTCTCCATCCCTATTCCCCTATAATAAATTTTTTCCATTTCCCATTCCCCATTTCCCATGGGTACCACCCTCCCCATTTTTTAATGGGTATGGATTTTCCCCAACCCACTTTAATCCCTATTTTTTTTATATATATATTTAGGCCAAGTTTGGGAAGACTAAAAAAGTGCACTTTTTGTCTTTTTGGACTAAAAAATTGAGGTTGAAAATATAGATGTTTGGGTTAACTTATTCTCAATATCTCTTTTAGTTATCTAGTTGAATTGTATAGTACGTAATTCCCTTGTTCATGATTATTTTGTAATCAATGTGGAAATACATAATCTTAAATATATGTTTGTTTTGCATTATTAGTTGTAAAATTAAAATATCTACTAATTTTATTAGATAAAATATCTATCGAAATCTAATCTAATCTAAATAATAACAAAAACTGCAACAAGAATGTAAGTGTCATAAATTAATAATCCTAACCTTAAAATCTACTTAATCAAACCGGCCAAAAAGCACAAGTTACAAAATATCTTTTCAATAACCAGTAATTTTTTTTCCCATCTAAAAAGAATTAATATTTTTCAACTAATTTATTTCTAATAAATTGTAACTAGAAACCCAAGAATAAATAAAATGAAGCAGCTTCTTCATTATATAAAAACAATCCCAATTCACAGATCACGTGCAGTAGTAGCATGAGGGAGCATTGCAACATCTCTTCTAATTCTGGTTCCAATTAAAGTAGTGCCATTAGGTGAGAGGATCGACCAGACCACAGACCACACCACCTTTTTTATTTTATTTTATTTTTTATTCTTTTGTACATACACCACCACCATCACCCACCCACCCACCATTGTAACATTTTTACAGATTTTAAAAATCTTTTTAATAGTTTCCACCTATTTTCAAAACAACAGCAGGTAGGTGGGATTCAGGTTCATGCAGTTTTCTGCACTACAGAATAAAGTCGATAGTCTCACCAGAAAAGAGTTGTCATCTTCCATAGGAATCCATCAGTAAAATTGAGCTTGAAAATCCACACACAAAAAAAAGTGAAGCAAAATTCTTACTCTAAAATCTATTTCATTTCCCCTATCCCTCAAGTATTTCACTTCACAAATTCCACTAAGGGAAAAATGCCTTGCTAGGTGAGAAAAACGCGGTTACAGAACCTAAAACATAGACTAATGAGTTTAGAATTACAATTTTCAATAAAATCTCATTCTTTAACCTTGTCACCATCATCGGAGTCCCCATCGTCCTCTGAAGATTCTTCTTTTTGATGCTCTTCTCCACCGGTATTCAATTTTCTTTTCTTTTCTTTCTTCCTCTGCTTTTTCTTCAGGCGTTTTAACCGTTTCTTTTCTGACTGTTCCTCAGCAGCTTTCATTCTTTCCTCCCTTCTCATGTTGAATTCTGCCACTTCTTTTCTTTTCTGGTAATCAGCGTCCATCCTTGCAAGCCGGTCTTGTTCTTTCCGTCTCATTTGCCGATACTGCACACAGAAAATGTTCAATGAAACTGTACACAGAAAATTTTCAATGAAACTGAACTCAACATATATGGTTTAACTTTAACAATCCCTAATGCATCCAAACCAATCAGAAGTCCCAATAGAATCAACAAACTGGAGCTAAATTGCCATTTTGGACAGCTATTCAAAAGGTTTCTTTAAAGAATAAGCATGAAGCATGATACTGCTTGGAGTATCATGCACTACATTCTCTTGGCAACAAATGCCATGCACTAGATTCTCTAGGCAACAAATGAATGTGGAAAGCACACAATGATATCATATAAAAAATCTCACCTAGCTTGCAACTAACAGTGAAATTGTATTCCAATCTCAGTTAAGTACAAATGGGAACCCAGCTAAATAGCATAAATGAATTAGTACATGCCATGAAGCACAGAAATATAAATGTAATAACCAATTGGTTCCCTGAGTTTGCCAATAAGATCTTATCAATAACAATGTAAGCACTATAGATAATATTTTTTCCACGGGAAATCTACAGATCCATTTTATAGAAAAGAGTCCAGATCCTAGAAACCACATTGTCAACACCAAGAATCACGACCACTCAAATATTTAAAAGTACAAACTATATCCCAACAAACCAAATGATCTTTTTGTCATCCTCAACACAAGATCACTTATATTTCACATTCTTCTCTGCCCCAAGACACAGCATACCCAGAATTTTAATCATGAAAAGATATTATATGGCAAGGTTAGATCATGTATGGTGTACATAACAATTCATTTTAAAAAGGCCCCATTGCAATTCTGTTGATATTTCTCACTGACGGTTGAATGTACTACACATAAAAACTCTATTAACCATGTGTATCAAGATTTGGGCATAAATTGCATGCCCCTCGGGCAGCTGTTGAAATGCCATTATCAGAATAATACATTTAAAACAAGAATGCAGAGTCACAATTGGCATCACTGGAAACAAACAAGCTGGTCTAAGATGCTTGGCTAAATTGCATTACAGCAGCAGTGCATGGCTTCATCTACCTAAAGCAATGCAAACAGATAATGCTGTCTTAGGACTCTTAACCCAACTCAATTAATTCAGGTAATATATCATTGTGGCCAAAAACCTTGAAGAAAAATTACTTCAAATTTTCTTCCCAATCGCATAATTCTAGGGTCTTGCACCTAACATTGTGTTATCAAAGGTTTCACTTCTTCACGGCAGGGTATGAATGGGTTACACCAATAGCCCTCGCATTGCATCACTTTCCATGGGTTGACTTCCACTTCCACTACCTCCATTAGATTTAGTGACCTGACCTGATCTCATAAATGGTTATCAGTGGAACAAGACCAGCTGCTAATCAACAGCTTCTCCAGAACAATTGCAAGCTAGCGAATTCTATTTCTACAAAGGTTACCCATTTAGACTATTATATGTGACCAATAATGAAACAAAATCTTGCATATAGTCCTTTTACTGCCTTCGGCCCTTCTATACCTTGATGCAATTATCCAGAGGTTGACTACTTCTCCCCCAATGCCTAGCAACGGCTACACTTAGGGTGCTGAGACTCTCATCAGGCCCATGCTACTCCATCTACAGAGCTCCTTCTCTCCGACCTCATTCTTGTTATGGTTACTCGTAATAGCCCAACTTTTCCTTAACACACCCCTATAAAACCAGCAATATTGATCACAATCAATCCATGACACTTTGGCATTGACCGTAAATCTCCACATCCAAATTCTTGATCAGCAGGTATTGATGATATGACCACATTAGTCATCCTTCTACCATCTATTTTAGCATATTCCCTTAACGTAGGTCACACAAATGCTGCGTCTTGGGCAATTCGTTATAGATTACGTCTGCCTCTGTCTTGCAAATATAAGATCAGCTAAGTGAGATTGATTCACCTTTTCTTAATCATGCAGAGAATGAACATGTAAGTGGTAGCATTTACCAATCCTATATGCCAGCACAAATTACATTTACTCATTTGATCAAGTCACTACCAAGCTTAGCCAACATGTGTCCAATCAAGATGTAGCTTATAAAGCATCTGCAGCTACTGTTAGTACCATAAGGTGTACCTACATAAAACAACTTCTTCTTTTGTCTCTCCCTTTCAGTGAGCTGACATCCATGAGTACATTAGATGACTTTTCTCCATGAATCTCTGCTAATATAGCCCTAATGCTACAAAGCTACCTACCCATAGGCAAATGTATACAAGTGGAACAAAGCAAAATGAAGCTTGGCACAAAACAATAGAGTGACTATTGATGAATATTGATAAGAAATTTTAAACAACAGGTTTGGATAACAAGTGCCCCTAAGGAACAAGAAAAGAACAGAAAAAGGGAAAAATACAAGACATTTTACAAATTTCGAAACACTTTGCACCTACTTCAAAACAATATTTAACCTCTTCACTACAACCTTGATGCAAACCAGTGCCTTCGGGCATTGATTAGCATTTGCCTTGAACAATGCAGATTAACTTCATTTGGGTAAAGTTACTTGGATATTTGGGTTGAAACAAAGTATGAAATAACCAAATGGTTAGACAATCTAAACAGTTCACAGCTTGATTTAGGGCCTACTAGTATAACTTGCTTCACAATAAGAATATCTAGCACATAGTGAGAGTTGGCGCTTATTAAATTCCTAATAAAATTGCCTGAAATTTGCAATCTTATGACGTTCAAGAGATAGTGAACATGTGAATTGGTTAGAATAAATTCAAATAAGAAAGTCAAAAGGAAGTCACAGATATCAAAAGAATACGGGCAAGAATAGTAATGATAAAGCATGGTATGGGAAGCAAGAAATCAACATGTTTGTCACATATGCATGCAGAAGTAGGCCCCTGACTAGACCAAGATGATGGAATCTCGTAGAAAATGTTTTGGCAATATGAAAAAGAGTACAGTGACTCTCAAAGAAAAACCCATTTGGTTTAGACTGAATCAGATACAAAGACAATCAGTAACCAAGTAATCTGCGACAATGTGACACAAGAACAAAATGCTACACATAAGACCATCTTCAATCTTTCACCAATTTTTTCATCTAATTTAATTCCAAATTTGACTAAAAAACTTGATTTGATATAAACTAATCCAATCATTTCATCAAATTTTCATCAAAATCTTTTTAAAAATTTCCGTCTTATCCCGAATTTCCTTTTTCATCAAATTTGATGGGAAAAAAAATATATCTTCAATGTTTCATCTTTTCAAATTTTCATCAAATTTAAATTTGATGAAGGATTTGACAAGTTCTCAATTTGATGAAAAAAAATGACACTGCTGATTTGATGAACATTTGATGAAAGAAAACGTCAAGGATTGGAGATGCTTAATAGTTGCAAAGATAAAGTCCAGAATAGGAATTTGTATTTGTTGATTTGGGTTGCCATTCCACGGAAATACAGCTACAGAACATTTGTAACTTGAACTCGAGAAAACCATGAGCAGAATTTCTTATAATTATACCTAACAACAAATCACAAATCTGAGAGTACACTGACAGTTACACACTAAATTTGTGTTTCTGTGTAGGTATGTATTTACATACATATATATACATCAATAAATAAATACAACAAATAGTTTGATCAATTACCTGATGAAAGTCGCCGGAGCCCGAACCGGCAGAGCTGCCGGAGGTGTTGCTGACGCGAACGGGAACGTGTTCGAGGATTCGGCGAAGCTTGATCTCAAGGTCTTCTTCTTCGGGATTAGGCCCTGTCGGCACGAACTCGACAAGCGCGTTAGATCCTCCGGCTGACGAAGGAGGCCGCGGCGGCAGGGCAGGAGTCAGCCTCTCCGGTACCACCGCCACCATCCGCATGTCTCCGTCGGAGGCGGACGGCGGTCTTCCCGATGACATTTGCCAAGAAAAAAAAACCCTAAACCCTAATCTCGAAATTGGATTGCGAGGCTCGCAATAGTTACAGGGGTGTGAGGTTAGAGTGAGGATTGAAGCTCGATGAATCTACACGTTTTAGCAGGCGAATTTGAAGCGCCACTGGGAATTTGCCGACGATGAGTATCCCAGAGACAGAAGAGACTCTCCCCCAATCACAGAATCAGCAACAATAATTCACGTTTGTTTCGGGGAAAATTCTATTTACACGTCATTATTTCTCTCGCTTCACACCATTATCCTATATTTATTAAGGCCAAGTTTGCGGAGACTAAATAAATGTATTTTTTGACTTTTTATGAAATATAGGTTAGATTTAGATTGGGTTTGAAGTGATGTGTTAGAGAGGTGATATGACTTAAATAGAATAATAACTTTTTGACTTTTTAAATTTTTTGAAAGATGCCAAACTTGACCTAACTACTACTATTATGCCCTCAATGAAATTACCTTTTAGGCAAAACCCTAAGGCCTGTTTGAATAGGGGATATGAAGACTTGGATTGAATATTATATTCGATGAAGTTCATATATTTCATGTTTGTAATTTTTTTTTAAAGGGCATATAATATCCGGTGGGATTGTATATCTCCCAAAAGTGGAAGATATACAATATACCACCCCCATTATATCATATCCCCCTTAGTTGAGATATGATGTAAAAAATTCAATTTACCCTTTTGTTTATCTAACATAATATAATTTAATATATTTTTTTGAATTTAATATAATATAATTATTGAATTTAATTTAATATTATTGAATTTAATATAATATAAATATTATTTAATTTAATTTAATATAATATAATATTATGAGGACAATCTTGAAAATTACTTGTTATATTCCACAATATATTTTGTAAAACAAACATGCATAACATATATCCAATCTTATATATTAAGTCAACAAACATGACTTGGGAGATATACTGGACTTATTTGGTTTGTATTTGATAAATATGTTTTGAAATAAAAAGTACGAAAATTTGTTTGGTTTGATTTTTTTTTAAAAGATATTTTGAAAAATTATTTTAAGAGAAAGTTTTGAAAAAAGTGATTGATTTAATGTGTATGAGAGAGAGATTTGTTTGGAAAACTTGTAAACCAAACAAGTTTTGGAAAAAAAATTTGAAAAATTTTGTTTGGTTTGATTACTTTTAAAAACTTATTTGTAGAGAATTTTTCTTAAAAGTTTTTGAGAAACACAAACCAAACAAGGCCACTATCCAATATCTATATCCTATTTATTATATATCCTGATTAAATCTCACATCGTATTATATCCTTCATTTTATATTCAGCGAAACAAACGGGGCGTAAATCCCCAAAACACACACCAGCCACCGGTGCCATCAATTCCAACAACCCTCAGCCTCATTGTTGCCACTGCCCCGGTCTTTCCAGTCCCATCACTACCTCCACCTTCTCGCAACAACCATCCTCAATGACCTACCACTATCATGTCTGTATACTCTAACGATCCACCACCATCGCACAGTTTACACAAGAATTTCAATAACCAGGCAGTTTTGTTTCCTTCAAATCGATTGAATGCTCGGAGGTCTGCGATGACGAACTTTTTATGCACCAACCGATTGATCAGACGCAGAAAGAAAGAGAGAAAGCTGTGTTTGAAGAGAGAGAGAGAGATCATGCGACAACGAGATCGCAATGGGTAGGATTGCGGCGGTTGTGTCATGACAGTGGGGGGCTGCGACGGCGGTAGAGCAGCAGCACTAAGGGGCTGATGGTAGTAAAGCAACGGGGGTGAGAGGTGGTGAACAGAGGGGCTGGGTAGGAGGTACCGGAGGAGTGTTGAAACGAGGAAGGGAGAGGAGTGGCGGTGGCTGGTAGACAAGTGTTGGGGTTAGGGTTAGGGTTAGGGTTTCTTAGAAGATATGTGGGTAATTTGGTATTAAATGAAAATTAGTAGGGTATGTTAGGACAAAATAAACATATTATTGTGGTATGAACTGGGTAAATGATGTATATTGACATAAATGATGGTGTGTAAATAGAATTTTCCTTGTTTCGGAGGTATAAATGTTAATTTACATATATATCCCTATATTTCTGTCATATAATAGATATTCACCCCCAAAAGTTTATATACTGTTATATGGAAAACTCTGCAATTCTCAAAATAAGAGTCAGATTTTATGTCAGTACGTGGAGGGAAGATTAAGTTAATAAATTTTAGAGTTCATAAATAAAATAAATTTGTATCATTAATTATTATTTTTAAATATATAATTAGGAATTTGTAGTATTATTCCAACTATATTGAATACTTGGCAAACTTTATAAATTTAGATTTCATATAAGATTTGGGGAAAAAAAAATTATTTCAGAAAATTGAGGCCACTTTTCATAATATTGATTTTTTTTTTTTGTATTTTTTTTATCAAAAATTGTAATATTTTAAAAAATATTTTTTAAATGTACCTAAATAGATACACTTAAAAAAATATCAAATTTATATAAATAATCTTTAATAAATTCACAAGAATATGAAAATATAATATATATATATATATATATATATTTGGTTGTATTTGATGAATTTCTTAAAGATTTTTAAATATTTTTTCATAAATATTTTATTTTTTAAGTACATTTAAGTTATGTGCATCTATAAATTAAAAAACAATGATTTAAAATATTAAAAAAATCACAAAAAACAAAAAACATGAAAATTTAAAATAAAATAAAATAAACAAAATTTAAAAAATCAATCAAAATCAAATAAGGTGGTTAGTTTTACACTTTGTAGTTAATTTAATTTTTATTTGCTTTAAAAAATCAACTAATAATGTTGTTGCAATTTTAAATTACAACTTATCTAACTCTTTAAATTTATTTGGCCCGAAAAAGTTAAATTTTCTTAAACTACAATTTGTAACTATTTTCAACTTATTTTGATCTCTTAAATACATATGGACGTAAAAATCTCATATCTTTTGTCATATAATTATAATTTTTGAGGGCATTTGGCGATGTTTGGGAAGTTTATTTTTTGGTTTTTTTTGGTTTTTTTTCACTAAAAGACAAATTGGTTACAAAACTAAAAAAAAACAAATCCAAACAAAATATCACATCAAATCTCATAATCATTTCACTTTTTCTCTCACATAGGGATGGCAATGGATAACCTACCCTGTGGGTATCCATGGAGACCCAACCCAAATACATGGGTTTTCCCCTCTTTTTCTTATCCATTGGGTAGGGTAGGTGATATTCTTTAAATATCCACAGGGGATGGGTTGGGGATGGGTACCCACTAATTTCCCCATATGTTTTTTTTTAAAAAAACAAATTTTAAAAAATCAATCAAAATCAAATAAGGTGGTTAGTTTTACACTTTGTAGTTAATTTAATTTTTATTTGCTTAAAAAAATCAACTAATAATGTTGTTGCAATTTTAAATTACAACTTATCTAACTCTTTAAATTTATTTGGCCCGAAAAAGGTAAATTTTCTTAAACTACAATTTGTAACTATTTTCAACTTATTTTGAACTCTTAAATACATATGGACGTAAAAATCTCGTATCTTTTGTCATATAATTATAATTTTTGAGGGCATTTGGCGGTGTTTGGGAAGTTTATTTTTTGGTTTTTTTTGGTTTTTTTTTATTAAAAGACAAATTGGTTACAAAATAAAAAAAAACAAATCCAAATAAAATATCACATCAAACCCCATAATCATTTCACTTTTTCTCTCACAAACTCACATCCAACCACAAAAAAATCCAACTATCTTTCCAAACACAAAATTTTTTTTCTCTAATAATATCTTACAACTAAAAAAACCTACAAAAAAAACTCACTTCTCAAACACCCATATATTTGCACAATAAAAAAAGTTACGTAATAACTTATTTAACTAAATATGTTCAATTTTTTTATATATAGATTATGAAAAATTGTACCAAACATATTTACAACTTGCTTAAAGTGTTTTAAGCTAATAGCATAAAAAACTATAATCATAAAAGGTAATTTATAAGTGATACCTAACAAACCCTAAAACTAACATAGATAATAGATAGATACTAAAATAAACAAATATATTTTAGTTGAAAATAAATGATAAAATTATTATTTTTTTATTTATATGATTAACGAATTATTAATAAAAAATAATCTAACTGCTGTGTAAATCTAAATTTGAGAGAGATGAACGTAAATATATTAAAAATGTGAAATTAGCTGAACATATTCGTGAATGGTGGATATGCATTACCTCTCACCTGTGAAATTTTGAATAAATTATCTGTCTTGAGATTGAATATCTATTTAGAAATATCTGTATTGGGCT